CCACGCCCTGGTCTTCTTACTGGGTCTKGGCACTGAGCTGGTCTAATGTGAAGGCAGCTGTTGGGGGTGGGTCTGAGGCATTGGGGCTGCCATTTCCAGCCTTCAGTCCTTCCTCCCCTGAAGCCCCCTCCGTTCTGCCCCTGCCTGTGCCTCTCACCAGATCTTATGACCCTCCCTCCTTCAGGACTCAGATCTGCCCCCCTCTTCAGCTCYAGAGCTCTCTGCCCCAGCGGGACCCCCTCCTCCATCTATGCTCCTGCAGTTCCTGCAGGCTGCCTGCTCAGCCCAGGCCTGGAGCTTAGACATGGGGCCCTCCTCAGAGGAGTCTGGGAGCTGGTCAAGTTTCTGCAGGGCAAGGGGTGCCAGCAGAGGGGTTCTGGCCGGAACCCTCAGCATGGCTTAGAACACAGGGCGAGCATGAAGATTCTGCTCCCCTCACCCGGGTGCTCCTGAGTTTGGGAGTTAGCCACAGTCGCAGGATGACCCATCTCTTCTCAGGGGTGTAGACCACTCCYGATGTGCACGCTTTAGTGATAATAGCTAAAGTTTTCTGAGTGCCTACTGGGTGCTGCTAAACCTCAAACAGACTCAATCTTCCCAATAAACTCTGATAGATGCACTGTTATCATCCCCATTGGCAGATGAGAAAGAAAAGGCACAGAGTGGTTAAGTAATTTGTTGAGGATCACACAGCTAGTAAGTAGCAGAGCTGGGTATGGAATCCAAGCGATCTGGTTGCATAGTCCAAGCTCTTAACCACTGGTTGATGCCAGTTGTTCAGAAAAGGAAACGGAGAAGCAGGGGGTACTGGAGCTAGAGAAGGTGCTAAATATAATCTTGTCCAAACGTGTCATCTTGTAGGTGAGAAGATGGGCTGAGAGAGGGATGAACTTGTCTAAAAGCCACCATAAACCAATAACAGAGTGAAAAAAAAATTATTGAATTTAAAAATTAGGGCTTAGAAATAGAACAATGGTCAGTTTTAATGAAACATTAAGTTAAATAAAATTCAGCGGTTACATTGCCGCCCAGGAGTTCCGATCCACATCACATTACTCAGAAATCCTTGCTAAGGTTTTCATACAGAGTTCCTGGGACCTGGGGACCCCAGGGGTGCTCTAGGGGGCCAGGAGGACAGCAGGCTGCAGAGAGCTTGGGTCCTTCCTCTGCTTTCCCTGTGTTACTTTGTTGCAAGAGTAATTTCGCTGCCAGAAGTTGGGGAGCCCTTGCTGGCACATGCCCAGGGAAGAGACCAAGAGGGCAGCTCTGCAGCCCAGGGGAAGAGGGCCCTGGGCCAGACCCCTCCCCTGATCTAAGTCCCTGCCCTCTTCTTGCCCTCRCGGCCTCCTCCTGAAATGCTGACGGCCCTTCTCTGCAGAATCTCTGATCCCCTCGTTGGCTGCTGCTCCCCGAGAGTGACTCAGAACGTCAAGGCTGGGTGGCGGAGCGGGGCACGGCACGGACCTGGCCAGGGAGGGCGGGAGCGTTTTCTCACACCGTGCACTGACTGGGTTTGGGGCCACAGTGACAGAGGGCCTCAGGATCTGTAATCCCAGGGCTCACCCCGAAAGCCCTAGGCGGGCACACCCTCCCGCCCTGCTCCCGCCCCATGTCAGGATCAGGAACAGCTGCCAGAGGAAGGAGGGTCACCGAGGGCACCAGTAAAAGCTGTGTGGGGGACTGGGGAGTGGGGAGGGGGCCCAGCTCTCAGCTGTCACTGCCAGGGAGGACCTCACTCCATTGGCCACCTCTGGCTAGGGGGGAAGGAGACAGCAGTCCCGGAAGGAGAAACTCTTCTCTCTTCTTCTCTCACCATAGGGGGAAAATKCTCTTTTCGTTGAAAAGTTCTTCTTTATGTCTACCTTTAGTTTCTTAGGCTACAGTTCAAGGATTTTGTGAACTTCTGGCAATTCTGATTTAATAAAAGGCCACAGGATATGATGCTAGACTAGGACTTTCTGATTGATTTGGGTTTATGATAAATTTAGATTTAATTAATTGGAGGACACAGGGTTAGCCCCTCAGGACAGTGTTGTCAAGTCCCCGTAAGAACCGGGCCACATAAACCAAGCAACCAATCATGTGACAAGAGTAAGGACAGAAAGGAGCTGAGCCATGTCCGTGGAACACATAACCTAGTGGCAAGATCCTATTGCTGTAATGGTGGACCTGTAGGGCAGAGTCACCATGTAAAACACTGCAGTCTAGAAGTGAAGATCACAAGCTCTGAAGTCAGATGAATGAATGGGACTGGTTCCCATCTCCATTACTTCCCAGCTGTGTGATCTCGACAAGTTACATAGCCTCTCTGAGCTTCAGTGGCTGGAGCTCTAAACTGGGCATAGCAACACCACTTTAGTAGGGTTGTTGTGAGGAATGAGCACTTAGTGTTCATATATAATGGCAGTTCTAAGGAAGTCCCTTCTACTTGAAAAGCACCATTTTTAAGATAAAAAAAATCATCTTACTTTTTGTCCTAGGGATGGCATATGCTTCCAGTTACCTCCAGAAAGTCCTCAGTGGAGTTTGCAGTTTGGGGCCCCACAGGCACAAATAACATCCATCACTTTACRTCTGGTTCCCTTGGAAGCATCCTCCAGTGTTGTTTGGTTTTTGTTTGGGCCCCTGGACACAGCCCTAGGCTCGCTGTGCCTACGTCTTCCCTCCCTAGTGCTGGGGTGCCACAAGACCCAGGGGACATGAGCCACTCGGGGCTTCATGTCTGGTGATGCAAACATCCACCAAGTTCATGAAAGTCTCCATCAAACCCTTGGGGGCAGCAGAGGGTAGAGCAGTTGGTGGAGGTGCAGAGATGGAGACGAGGTGGTGGGCACGGGGCTCCAGGCCCACACGTGGGGGACAGCCCACCTCCCCTTGGGGGCAGGGACCAGTTAATTAGACTCAGTTCCCTGATGGGGGACTCCCAGGGAGCAGAACTCCCTGCTCCCAGGGGAGACCGGTGGACATCCCCAGGGGATCCTCACGGGGAGGCCAGTGCCCTCCAGGCCCTTTGCTCCTGAGTAGCAGGCTCAGTCAGGTTTGCTCGGGTGCTCGCTTCTGGACTGGCTGGTTCACAAAATGCACAAAATGGACATACTCACTTCATACCAGGCAGGAGAGGACAGGTGAGAGGCCTGGAGCACGGAGCCTTTGAGACCAGTCTGATGTGGGTACAAGTCACGGCTCTACCACATGCTGTGCAAATCTGGGAGCTCTTTGGCCTCTCTGAGTGTCCAAGTCATCGAGTGTAACAGAGTCAGTGAGGCCAGCTGCAGAGAGCCTCCAAGGAGACCACTTGTCCAGTGTATGTGAAGCATCCTGCATCACKCCTGGCACCAACTTGGTGCTCAATAAATACTGGTTGAAAGAAAGAGCGAATGTCCAGACTCTTCCCTTGAAGGAGACAGGCCTGTATAGAAGGTACCCTGCTGCCAGTGGACTGGCCACTGTTCCAGCCTTCCCTTGTGGATGGTTTCGCGGGGCCTGGGCCTCCAGGACTCATAGCCCCAGCCCCTCTGCCAGTTCCATTTGCTTAAAGGCCTCCTGGACGGTGGCTGGGCAAGGGGAGAGGGACTGGGGTAGGGAGGAGGGAGAGAAGAGACGGCTGAACCCCGGGCAGCCTGGCCTTCCCTGCAGCCCTGGGGGTTCCTGACCACCTTCTCCCACCTCACGGCTCTGCCCTCCCTGTGTCGACGAGGGAGTCTTCACTTCTGCTGYCATTAGGCCAGGGCCAGCTCCAGCCTGTGGACTCACCTAGACATGGGTCACTGCTGCTCCTCAGATTTGGGGTCATTTCTCCCACGAGGGGCTGAGGAGCAGAGGGGGAACACAGGTGCATCTAACTCTTTTTCGTGAGCGTTAATGACAAAGCCTGGTCGGGAAGAGAATGAGCGTCTGCTAACTTAGGGGCCGGCACTGGGGGCAAATTGTTTCATTACCTGTGAGGCAGGTGTCCTGTTCGATAGATGAGAAGATGAGTTGGATGTGTTTAGGGGTTAAGTGACCTGCCTGAGGCTGCAGAACTAATTAGTGGCAACGGTGGGGGGGTGGGCATCTGAACACAGATCTGTTGTAGAATATAAGGGTTTGAAACTAGAATTTTACACATGAACAGGTGGGTTTCTGCAGAATGGTGTTCTGCAGAAGGTTCCTAGCACCAAAAATGTTATGAATTCCTGTCCTGAACACTGGGATCATTCCAGAATGTGCCCTGTTCTGGTGGAGCCCAGCAAAGCTCAGAGTGGCCAGCAAATGGAGCAGCAGGCGCACATGGTCCAGGGCACTGGAGCGCCACCCTGCTCCCACCACGGAAGCACAGGGGTCCCCAGGGCTGGAGGGGGAGGGCCCCAGGTCTACCTTTCCCTCTCTCCACTCCGTACCTGGCTCTGCTTGGATCTGAAGGGCGCCAGGGAAGGCTTTTCCTTTTGAATGTGACATGGGGCCAGACACATGTGGAAGAATAAAAATGACAATGGTGACAAGTGTCTGAACAGCTCCTCACAGCTTCCAAAGCACTCGGTTCATTTGCATTATTTCCAACTTTTAGGCTMAGCACCTGAGCCTCAGAGGGTGGCTTGCTCAAGGAGTGCTGAACTGGTGGGTGGCAGRCTGTGCACTTGAGCCCAGGCTCCTGGGGTGGGACAGGATGCTTGGCCTGGAGCACTAAGCCTCCGTGGTGCTGGGAGATGGAAGGCCGGTYGGTTGGGGGAGGCTGCAGGGCTGGGCCTGGGCAAGGCCTTGATCCAGGAGGCCTTAGGGCCCAGTTCAGGTTCTCCTAGAGGGGAATGGGATGGGATCCAAGGACCTGTGCCCTCCGAATGACTTTTGTAGGTGTGTTTAGTGACATGCTGAGCAGGTGTGAGAGGATGGGCCTGAGCCAAAGGCCACGCCCAGAGATGTTTTGGATTTTTCCCTTTATGCCCCTGCAACCAAGCCCTGCTGCTCCAGCCCATATAAGAGASGGAGGCTGAGGGCAGCAGCACACACGGCCTGGCCCCTCTCTCCTCGGTCTCATAGCTCCAAGCTTGTCCTGCTTCTTCAGCCATGATCGCCAAACAGCAGTGTGTCCGGGGCGGGTCCCGGGGCTTCAGCTGTGGCTCAGCCATTGTTGGTGGGGGCAAGAGGGTTGCCTTCAGCTCTGGCTCCGTGTCTGGAGGTGCAGGCCGCTGCTCCTCTGGGGGCTTCGGCAGCAGGAGCCTCTACAACCTTGGCGGCCACAAGAGCATCTCTCTCAGTGTGGCCGGGTCTCGCCAAGGTGCCGGGGGTGCTGGGGGCTTTKGTGCTGGGGGCTTTGGTGCTGGGGGCTTTGGTGCTGGTGGCTTTGGTGCTGGTGGCTTTGGAAGTGGATTTGGTTGGGGTGGTTCTGGCCTCGCTGCCTGCCCTGCTGGGGGGATTCAGGAGGTCACCATCAACCAGAGCTTGCTGACCCCACTCCACGTGGAGATAGACCCCGAGATCCAGAAAGTGCGCACTGAGGAGCGCGAGCAGATCAAGACCCTCAACAACAAGTTCGCTTCCTTCATCGACAAGGTGCGTGACTGATGTCCTGGACAGAGAGAGGCAGTGAGTGGAAGGAACCCCRAATTGGAGCTCCTTGTAGGCAAAGGGACAGCAACTGAGTTTTCCTGGGCCTCAGTTTTCAGCGATGAAGGAGAGACAGATGGTACTTTGAGTCTGTGGTAAGAGAGGGCAGACGAGCTGTGTGCTACCAGGCAAAACACTTGGCTTTTCTGATTCTAGTCACAAATGGGCTCATTATTTCCTAGCTTTTCTCTTAGGTTTTGGTTTTGGAAAAAAACAGTTAATTTCAGTAGTTTAAYGACTGGCACTCCCGTTCTGGGAGCTGAAGAAAACCAAGCTGGTTCTGCACATAACAACTTGCTGACTTCCATGGAAGATTCTAGGCCACAGCAGGATCTTGGGAGGTTTTCTCGTTTCTTCTCACTGAAGGCTCGACTGTCTGTTTAAAGAGGAGCTGGGTCTCTCTTTTCTTTTTGTTGCCCAACTTCCTCTTCATGAGCATTTGGAGAGCCAAGTCCTGAAAGCTCAATCCCAGCCTAGTGTGGTAGGTTATGGTGATCGGGTCATCTCAGAGAGCTGAGTCACCTGAGATTGATGACCAGGTAGACAAGTGTAAACACGTTGGTCTCGGCTGTCCTGGGTCATGGCGTATCAAAGTCTTAGGCCTCTTAGATGTTTGGGCAAGAACGCATCTTCCTCGTGCAGGCTGAATGCGTGCATTTACTTCTCCTGCTAGTTTGAATAAACCCGCGGTAACTTCAGGAGGCTTCATTGTGACTCTAGGACACAGAGACATGAAAGCAAGAAGAAGAGTTCTTTGGGGGCTTCTCCGTCTCATCTCCCCCTTTCGGCCCAGGTGGTGATYGATCTTCTTTACCTATTTTCCTTTTATTCTGAAGCCCATAGGTGGAGAGGTCACACTCAGCTGCTTCTTTGGCCTATCAGGCTACATGTTTTCATAGAGAGGGAAAGTCCAGGGATGTCCCTGGCAGGATGGAGTCTAGCTGAGATTAGAACAGGAGTAGGATGTTGCTCACCGATAGCCATACTGTCACGCACAGGTTGTTCATGGGGACACACCGGTCTATTGATAAGAAGGCTTATTTTAAAAGTATTTAGTGAACTCTTTGCCTTGGGTCAGGGTCACTTGAATGCAAGAGCCTCCAGATCACGGTTGTATCTCCTCATTTTATTTAATTATTTCGTAGAAGCTCCCTGCTTCTCTGGTGGGTCATCTGGGGCCTTTCGATGCTGGTGCTTAGGAAGCTGGCCCTGCTGCTCTGGCCATGCATACTCTGTTCTCCACAGCCCTGGGCAGCAGGGATACCATGTTGACCCTAGTGAATGAGGGTCATTCACTAGGAGTTGCCATGTGGTAGCTCTACTTGGGTGACTCTTGAGCTACGTGGTTGCCTTGGATTGACTGGGTTGGCATTGGCCTCGGTGGGCCCCCTCCTAGTCAAAGGTTCGATCCTTCTACCTCATCAGTGGTCTGGTACCCTCTTCAAACAGGTGCGGTTCTTAGAGCAACAGAATAAGGTCCTGGTGACCAAGTGGAACCTCCTGCAGCAGCAGACGACCACCACATCCAGCAAAAACCTCGATCCCTTCTTTGAGACGTACATCAATGCCCTCAGGAAGCAGCTGGATACCTTGGTCAATGACAAAGGGCGCCTGCAGTCGGAGCTGAAGGTCATGCAGGACAGTGTGGAGGACTTCAAGACCAAGTATGTGGGGAGGAAGGAAGGGATCATCTGATGCATCTGCCTGGCCATGGCCCAGGTTCCTTGGGCTCCTCTCCAGTGGTTTAGAACCTCAGGATCTGAAGAGATCCCAACGGGCCAGGAAGATCCTTTAGACAGTGCCCCTGCATCCACATGATTACATGTTCATAGGGTGAGGTTTAGGTACCTCAAGTTGCCCCACAGTCAGAAGCAAAGAGATTGTAGAGACAGATGGAGCTGATTTGAATACTACTCCCTCACTTACTAGCTATGTGACTTTGGATAAGTTKCTTAACTTCTCTGTGCTTCAGTTTTCTTAAGCCTCAATGGGGATGATATCCTTTACTTTTAAAAATGGAGATACTATTCCTATCTTATGGGTTATAAGAATTCAATGAAATTAATTGAGAGAAAATATAGGTAGCATAGCACTAGACATAAAATGAAGACCCACACCCTCTCTCTCAATTCCCTCACAGCCMAAATAGAGGAACTGAAGTGCTGGCAACATTCTTGAGAATTTAATCGGCCAAAATGGCCCAAAGGACAGTTCCTTCCATGGAAACAGCATTGATTAGTTTCTTGCAGATGTTTCACCCCACATGTTAACTCTTGAAAATCGTCTTTGTAAAATTTGGTTTTTATGTCTCTGAACACACCAGGGCCTAGACCTGTTATCTCATACATGGTAGTTACTCAATAAATGTACATTGAGTGGATATTTGTGCACATGGGAAATGCAGCTAATTACCTGGATATTTCCAAATAGATGTTTGCAAACAAGCAGCAGAGATCCAAGAGACACTTGCTCACTGTGGGCTTTTGTCTTTTCCTTCCTGTCCCCACCCCTAGATATGAAGATGAGATCAACAAACGCACAACGGCAGAGAATGACTTCGTGGTCCTCAAGAAGGTGGGGCATGAAAGATGGTGGGGAAGTGTTTTTTAGGGAACCCCTCCCCGTTGGTGATGGTCCTCAGCTGGCCATGAACCCACGGCCCATCTCTGCTCATCTCCACCTCACTTGGTACTATCTACATCTGTGCAGCTGAAGGAAGCAGATAAGGGAACCAAGTTTCCAGGAATGAAGCTTGGGAGGAAAGCCTGTGTAGACAATTAAGTTCCATGTCTTCAGGTAGCTTCAGGGACAGAATCGAGTGAATAATTGGTCCCTGGCCACCTCACCTGGCATTGTGTAGATTTTCCTAAATGCAACTGAAAACACTTGCAGGTGTTGATTAATACCTTGTCCCCATGATCATTCCTGCTTCTCCTCTCTCCTCCTGTTTCCCCTGCAGGATGTGGACGCTGCCTACATGACCAAGGTGGAGCTGGAAGCCAAGGTGGACGGCCTGAATGATGAGATCAACTTCCTGAGGGTCCTCTACGAGGCGGTGAGGACTCCTTCCTCCCTCCATTCACGGAAAGCGACTCCTTCACCATCTCTGAGGCTGCTGGTTGGGATTCAGTGYTTAGAAGGGACTCTGGTCCTCTTCCTTCAGGGCAGAGGCTTCTCAGCAGGGTCATGGATGAAAGGGTTGGAGCCAAGTGAAGGATTCAAGTGAGAGCTTCTCAAAACCAGATGTTGTCTTAGAAGAAGTGATTATAGCTGAAGTTTGTGTGGGATGGAATTTATTACTGTCTACCATTTTTCTGGTGAAATGAATCCATTCCATTCCCTTCCATCTAACACACGGAACACCTGTTGCTTTGGACGTGGAGTGCCGTAGTTCCCAGTGAGCAGTAAAGATGAGAAGCATTGCTTTTCCTCTCCTGAGATGTCACCAAATATTTGATTTCTACTTCAAAATGTATCTTCTTTCCACTCCCTACACATTGGGAATGCCGACCCCACTTGCATTTGAACTTGCAACCCAGAGGCTTGCCTCAGAGCTCAGGGGGAGACCTCCTGGAGTGCTGACTGGAGACATTTGCTTTGCAGGAGCTGTCCCAGATCCAGAGCCATGTCAGTGACACGTCTGTGGTCCTCTCCATGGACAACAACCGCAACCTGGACCTGGACAGCATCATTGCTGAGGTCCGCGCCCAGTATGAGGAGATCGCCCAGAGGAGCAAGGCTGAGGCCGAGGCCCTGTACCAGATCAAGGTGGGTGGTAGGATGTCTCAGGAGATGGGAGTGACTTTAGGACTCTGTTCTTAATGTCAGGTGCTCATCCACTTGATCCCCAGAGCATCTAGAGATGGGTAGATTCTCCCAGGCATCACTGATCCTGGTCTGCTTGGGAACACTTGACATTTTGGGCTATCCCTGTCACCTGTGGCTACTCTCACTGGACCCTACCCAAATACTCTTGACCCGTGATTCCCTGTGTATCCTTGGGCATTAGGTCCAGCAGCTCCAGAACTCAGTTGATCAACATGGTGACAACCTGAAGAACACCAAGAACGAGATCTCAGAGCTCAACAGGATGATCCAGAGGCTGCGGGCAGAGATTGAGAACGTCAAGAAGCAGGTGGGTGTCACCTTCTCCTAGCCGAAGTGCAAGGTAGATGCCCTGGGGTGGATAAGCAGGTAAAGCATGAGGTCAGAAGACCCTGATCCTGTCTACATGGCATTTCTAGAAGCCACACCTGGATCCTCTGAGCAATATCCTAGTTGGGAAGAGGGACAATTGGAATCCTGACATCCTAACCCAAGGAAAACTGGCCCAAGAGAAGGGTCAGGTATAAAGGTCTTGAAAACAGGGCACTGATGCTGCCTGTCCAATGTCCTTGTCCACAGTGCCAGACTCTGCAGGCGTCTGTGGCGGATGCAGAGCAGCGTGGGGAGCTGGCGCTCAAAGATGCCTACACCAAGCGCACAGAGCTGGAGACTGCCCTGCAGAAGGCCAAGGAGGAGCTGGCCCGGATGCTGCGCGAGTACCAGGAGCTCATGAGCGTGAAGCTGGCCCTGGACATTGAAATTGCCACCTACCGCAAGCTGCTGGAGGGCGAGGAGTGCAGGTGAAGCAGGAAAGCAGGGTGGTGATGTGAGGGACAGAGAGGCCCTGGGCTGTGAGTTGGGGCCTCTGCAGGGCTGCTTGCTTCAATGCTRTGCTGGTGCATTAAGAACCAGGATGGAGGGGCTGCAGTTATGGCTCAGTGGTAGAGCACCTGCCTAGCATGTGTGAGGCACTGGGTTCGATTCTCAGCACCACAAATAAATAAATGAATAAAATAAAGGTCCATCAATATCTAAAAAAGTATTTAAAAAAAAAGAACCAGGATGGTGTAAATAATAGGTTCACACTTGGCCTTTAGAATCTTGTCCTTTAAGGACAGTGCATGAGACCTACTTATTGAACAAATTGTGGTTCTGGGCTCGATGAGACTCACGGCTCTTTCTCCCCAACAGGATGTCTGGAGAATGCCAGAGTGCCGTGAGCATCTGTAAGTACCTCCTGCCCCTTCTTGTTATTTGTTCACCCAGATCTGGGTGGAGGGTTCTGGGCACTGTGGGAACAACTGTGTYCCTTGTCTTTCTTGCAGCCGTGGTCGGTGGTAGCTCCAGTATTGGAGGCATCAGTGGAGGATTCGGCGGAAACTGCTCTGGAATTAGCCTGGGTAGTGGTTTTGGCTCCTGCTCTGGAGGTGGCTTTGGGTTTGGCGGCGGTGTCTGCGGTAGTTCCGGCAGCAAGATCATCTCTACCACCACCCTGGGCAAGAAACCCCGATAAGAGGAGACAAGGTCCTTGCTGGCAACCAAATGCCACCTGGCCCAGGCCTGCGGTCCCTGTGCTTCCTTTACTTCATCTCCACCTTCCCTTTCTGGTGTTCACCCTGATGCTGTCACCTCGAYTCTCCTCTGGGATCTCTGCTCCAGGACCATCTTGTCTGGAATGTGGACTCTGCCCTCTTGGAGTTCGGTAGCTTCTTTTTGACTTGGGCCTGGTGACTCACCTCCAGTGGAGGGGGTCTCAGCTTTCACCTCCCATGGACAGAGGAGAAAATGACCAGGAGCTCCCTCTCCAGAATTGTCAGGGCCACACATTTCTTCCCAGCTCAACACTGTTGCCCACCAGATTCTGGATATCCAGCTACAAGAGAACCAAACTCACTCTCCATCACCCGGTAGCAACSGGCTCTGCAAGGTTAAGACAAGAACTGCTCGGGTCCCCTTCAACTCTTCTCATTCTTAACTATCTGCAGGTGAATCTTCAATAAAATGCTTTTGTCATTCAGTCTGAGCCATTGTGTTTGTTCCCTGGGGAGCAGTCTCTAGAATCTTGAACATCTATTAACTTGGGTGAAAGTGGACAACTGGGGGGTCTGAAGGATCTGTTTATATGGATCAAAGTCATCCACTAGTTTTTCAGGTCTCTATTTGTAAGTTGCATAGATTACCGAGGTCAGAAGTGCAGTGTCTGGAGCCTGTGGGCAGGTGTGCAGATTCAAGAGATAACCAACAATTATAGAGAGGAGGCCCATCAGAGGGTGGCCCAAGGCAGCACCTTCTTAATTCTGAGTCTGGAGTGAGCCTGGAGGGAAGGAGTCTAGGTCTGGAGGTGTGGGGCCTCTTGCAGGTGTGAGGAGAGGCGCCGGGCGGTGGCTTTGCTGAATGCAGAACAGAGGATGTGGAGCTTAGGAAGGGAACCTACACTCAGGGCTAGCAAGGCCTCTCTATTTTTACAAAACTCCATGCATGGAGCTCAAAGCCCTGGAACAACAGGGCTTTCAGGAACTGTTCTAAGAACCCACGAGATCACTGTGGTTGGATGGGGGAGTACAAGCCTGCTGTTCTCCCAGAGCTTTAACGCTTTCCTCTCTTCCCGGCCTCCCCAGGAGCTTGGGTCACTCTGGGGTCGCTATGGGAGAACATGGAACGTGGAGTTGAGGCAGCTCTTCTGGAGCGGTAGAGGAGGCAGCTTCCTGGTTGGGGCAGCCCTGGAGATTCTGGCTGTTGCAATCCTGAGGTGGGGAGAGGACAGTTAGGGGGAGGATTTGGGTGCAGCTCTTGAGAACACCCTGTTTCTGTCCTGGACTAATTCCAACTTCCTGGAGCTGCACAATCTTCCCTTTTCCATAGGACTGCAGTTCTTCCAAGTGCAGTCTAACCTAAATCCCTCCTGCTGCAGGCGCAGGCTATGCTTTCTTGGTCACCAGTTGGTGCTTCCCTTTTTGTCCATGGGGAGTTCATGCTGACTCCAATTCCTCCAGTGCAGTGCCCTTGGGGGCCCAACTATGCAGATGAGAGGGTGCATGAATTGCCCAGGCCAGTGCCTGCCTATGAGGTCTCCTAGGAAATTAGGTGCTGAGCAGCCAAAAGCAGCCAAGGGTTAATCTGAGGAGCTTGGGCAGGGGCTGTTTGCCAAGAGAAACCAGGAGGAACGGCTCCCTCCCTCGGCCAGATGGCTCCATCCTTCAAGAGCCCGGCCCTAATCTCTCCATTGTCTCCCAGCTCACTGCCCGTGTGTCAGAACAGGAAGTGTTTGCAGCCCTTGCAGCCAGTCGGGCAGCTTTGACCAGGTCCCCACTGCGCCCCTTCCCTGGGAAAATGCCTCAGTGGCTCCTTTTTGAGTTTCTGGGGTGGGGAGGAGAGTTCAGGCCTGGAGGCAGGGTTGGGACTTCCCAAGGTCACCTGCTGGAGGCTGTGATGGGCCACAAGTCTTGTGCCTCCTGAGCAAGGGGAGTGTGGAAGTGGCCAGGCCTTGGGGCTCTGTGACAGGTGTCTTAGACCTCTGTTGGACATGAAAGAGGAAAAACAGTCACATCGGCCTCTATTTCCTGAGGGGTCCAGGGGAGTGGATCCACTGGTTTGGAGCTGTTTGGTTAGTTGAAGGGGATCATTGGAGTTTTTTGGGGAAATGCATTGCTGAGATCATAGGGGCACCCCTTCTCTCAGATCCTTTGAACTGGATTCTGGCTAGTTCTTTGTGTTCTGGGGAGACATAGGGTGCACCACCTGCTTTTTGGAAGCCCCATGGCTCCCTTCCTTTGAAATCTTTTCCTCTGGCTATACTGAAATTATTTTTCCCAACTAAAGGGCTCAACTATGGGTTGGTGCATCCTTTATTCTGCCCAGACCTGTACTCCCCAGGGTCTTGGCTTTGGGACCTGGCTGTAGCCCCACCTTCTATGTGGCCTAGGTCCCTCTGGCTTCTAAGCAACTATTATACCTGCACAGGTCTCCCCATCACCAAGACCCTCTGTGCCGAGTTAAGCCCTCTCAGTTCTAGAAGATTCTTGCTAACACTTCCGAAATCTCCCTCCCTTGCTGCTGGTCAAATCAGAAGAACATAGCAAAGGAGGATTTATTTAGTGATGTCTCACTGTAGAATTTTGGGTTAGTTCACTATTGGGATTGAGGCTTTGGGTTCTAAGATGAGAGGACCTCAGAGTAAGGCACGGCTACTGTCATGACTTGGATGGATGTTGGGGTTGAGTGCACCAGCTATGTTGGAAAACAAACAAGGGACCTGTGCCCTTTTGTGTCTTCTAAGGATATGGTAACAGTGGGCCAGTCCAGGGACAAAGGGAAAGACCAGGCTGAGGGAAAGGAGCCATTTTAGCATCAGTTCCTGTTTCTTTCTTTTTTTCTTTTTCTTTTTTTTTTTTTTTTTGCCAAATTGAACAGTTGTCCCTTTATCCCGTGGAGAGAAGGCTGGAGGGTAAAGTGTGGCCATGAGGAGTCCCTGTGGTGGGAGTCTCTGGACCAGGACACATTGCCATTGCTTCCTGTGGTTTCCTGGTTGGCTTAGGTCAAGGCAAGACCGTTGTTATGCATTTTTTTTCTTTTTAAGTGTTACAGATTTGCTTCTCAAAAATGGAAGGAGAAGGTTGTTGAGAGGCTAGGTAAGCTAGGAAGAGGTTTTCTGGAGAAAGGGTTTTGATTTTCAGTTGCCAGTGACCCATCACTATTATTGACCCACCTGCCTATGGATTCTTTAAGGGCAGAGGCCATGGCGCTATTCATCTTGATATTCCAGGGCCACCGCGCTTGCCTTAGAGTAGCTGTTTAACGGATGTTGATTAAATGAATGAATAAATATCCACTGAGTGCCTGGTCTGTGCTGGGTGATAGGGACCCGCATAGAATCAACAGCTATATCTGCTTTTGACGGGCTTTCAATACGGATGGTCATGACTAGATGTGAATGATTGGAGGCAGACAGGCAGATGAAGGCCACTGGGAGTTATAAACAAAGGCCTTGGCTGTCCAGACGAGGGTGGAATTACTTTTGGTCTTGGGTGAGGGCAGCACAGAGAAGCTCCAGGTAGGAGGTGGCATTTAAGCAGGACAGGYGGGGCCTGGGTGCTAGAGGTGGCAGCAAGTATTCTCCTGACAGACAGCAGGACTCTGATCTTCTCTAAGAGCAAGACCTTTCTTCCAGGAAGTCTTCCAGGACTTCCACCCGATGCCCTACTCCCTGACGCCTCCTTGGGTGGATTCTGATCTTGCTCCTTTCTCCCTGGCAGCATTTCCCCTGTGGCACTGGGCTGGCTGTCCACCTCCTGTGACTCTGCCTGTGAGCCTCATGGGGACAGCCTGACAAGGTTTGCAAACACCTCTTTTGTGTCTGGCTCTGTGCAAACCTGTGGGGATAGAAATCACACTGCGGCTGGGTCCTCCCTTGAGGAAAGCTTAGCATTACGTGAATAGGGCGCCTGAGTGTGGGAAGCGCTTGGGAAGCAAACACATGAGATACGGATTTTCCGTGCTTTCAGGAGACTATTAAGAGCAATGGTAGAAGTAAGCACAGGGGAGAAGCATTTACTTTGGCCAGGGATTCAAGGAAGGCTCCCTGGAGGAGGTGGCACCTGAGATGAATGTCAAAGTTCTAGTGGTCACTGGGGTGAAAGGGGCGTAGACTCGGAGTTGGGAGGAAGGGCCCCGGGTCCAGGGTTCTCTAGGCAGCAAGAATATCAGAGTAGAGGCTCTTGGAGTGTGGTTCAGGGAAGTACATATATAAACCAAAAGTAACTTGGCATCAGTCAAGGTTAAGGGCCCGGAGTGGTGGGAGAGGAGGCTGGAGAGGCAGGTCGAATCTGGGCAGTGGAAGACCATGATTTGGCCCATTGTCTAATCTGTGTGGGGCTTGGTCCTCGTGTTCTAAGACCAGACAAGTGCAAGACAAGGCATGTCTGAGAGATAAAGCTCAGCAGGAGAGGAGAAGGGAACTCTGGGCTACCTGCTTTTGGGGTGGGGCCTCGGGGCCCATGTTATGTTTTGGACTCATGTCTGGGGCCTGCCACAGGGCACCTCACTCCCCTTCCATGCAGTAGAAATGCTGAGCCTTGCACCTGCTCCACCTCCTTTTTCATTCCTGTGTACTATGAAGATGTGTCTGGGACTAAGGCATTTATTGTCATTCCTTTGTCTCTTGGCAGAATTGTCTCTTATCCTCCAAAAGAATATTCATCTCTTTGGTATTCACTTATTTCTAAATCTTTCTGGATGATGATGATGATGATTTTTGGTTCTGGGGATTGAACTCTAGGGTGCTTAACAACTGAGCTACATCCCCATTTTAATTTTGAGAAAGGGTCTCACTAAGTTGCTGAGGCTGGCCTCGAACTTGTGATCTTCCTGCCTCAGCCTCCCAAGCTGATGGGATTACAGGTGTGTACTACTCACTTGGCTCTCCTTAGATTATTTGCAGTGTCCATACTCACCCTATTTACTACCATGCTCACACAATCCACTTTACATCCAACTGGATTCCCTCAAATTCTTCAA